CATGTTCTGTAGCCACACCTCTCAGTTGAGAAACAAGTCAGGTTAAATAGTGGGTCAGATCCTGTGGCTCCTTCCCATGACTCATGTGTTGGAGGTGAGTTGAAGAATCTGATGGTATTTTCTGTGAATGCTCTCAGTCCCAGTTCAAACTGGGAGGACCCTATGGACATTCTTTGTAAAAGGGCCCTGGAATATAATGTTGCTCCAGATGGAAGCTTTTAATAATAGAAGGGTGGGTCACGGAATACTGAATTGGGAGTGAAAAGGGAATATTGGTCTAATAGGACTTTCATATATTTAAAAGCTTGCTGGATATTTTTGCTTTGTTGTTCAATAGGCTTTAAGAACTCAGCATATGTAAATTAAACTGTATCTCTTCCATATCACACCTGTTCCTGTTTCTGTTTTTCCCCCAATCATTAGTTCTTCAGCTTGCAAGCTGTCACTAAGACCTTCTTGATTCTTTTTCTAATATTTGGTCTTTCCTTGCCTGTCTATCTCTACTATTGTTTCCCTCCCTGGTTCACCTTCCTTTTTTATCACCCAGTCTTTTGCCTCCGTTTGACGTTCTCTCTCCAGTTACTCCTTCCCCCCAAATCCAATTGTGTCACTTTCTTGTCAGCCAGAAGATTCCTTTTCCTTTCCCAAGAGTATAAATGTAAGTTGGTTTAAATAAAAATATCAAAGGACTAATAGTTGGTGGGACTGATATTGGACAAAAACCATGAAGGCAAATAACTGAACATTTTGCCTCAGTATCATTAGTATCTACAGTTCCAGACTCATTCCTTTCTGCTTCTCCACATCGCATTTTCAGAATTCCTACACCTGCACTGTTTTGAAAGAAGCCCTAGTGATATAATGGTTATAGTCTGTCTGCATGATTGGCAGTTCAAAACCACCAGCCTCTTGCTGGAGAAAGACAGGGCTTTCTACTCCTGTAATGATTTTCAGTCTCAAACTCATAGAGGCAGTTCTAGCCTGTCCTATGGGGTTGCCTTGAGTCAGAATCAACTCCACAGCAGTGTGTGAAAGTGAATGTACTGCTTTGTAAAGGTTATTTTATGCATTTGTAGTTTTATTCATTCTTCCTAAAATGACTCCTGATTCCCTCGAACTTACTCTGACCCAGCGGTTCTCAACCTGTGGGTCATGACCCCTTTGGGGACGTCAAACGACCCTTTCACAGGGGTCCACTGGTTCATAACAGTAGCAAAATTACAGTTATAAAGTAGCAACAAAAATAATTTTATGCTGATGGGGGTTAACCACAACATGAGGAACTGTATTAAGGGTCGCGGCATTAGGAAGGTTGAGAAACACTGCCCTAACCTTTCTTTGTCTCATTAACCCTCACTCATTCTTTTTTTTAATCATTGGGGGCTTTTACAGCTCTTATCACAATCCATACATCTATCCATTGTATCAAGCATATTTGTACATATGTTGCCACATCATTTTCAAAACATTTTGTTTCTACTTGAGCCCTTGGTATTAGCTCATTTCCCCCCCTCCCTCCCCATCATCCCTCCCTCATGAACCCTTGATAATTT